ACCCAAAGAATATTTTATCCCGCTTCCCACTGACGAAATGGTGCTGGCTCAACTTGAGGAGGTGCGGGATTCGATTGTCCAAGGTACTGCGGTCCTGGACCAGGAAATTGAACATCAGTACCTCAAAGGGGAGGAACTTGAGGGCATGCTTGAGGAGTTTTCGATAGCGATTGGGGCGATGGAAAAGGAATACCAAGGAGGGTGGGAATGCCGGACACTTGATAAACTCGTGGAGAAGCTGAGGCTGGACGACGCCGCTGCCTTGGAGCATAAAGAGCTGCAACCCCTACTCCTGGAACATCCACTGAGTCACGCCCAAAAAAGCCTATCCCGGACTTCTCATTTGATCTTACAACAAGTGTCAAGGACCTTGATATCCGACCATCTACCTAGCTTTTGCAAAATGTCTAAATAGTTTTCCGTTAAAAGGAATGAATGCCCAGAGTCCTCTTGAAATACAATGCATGGGCTCATAAAACTCCAATTGGCTCCCAGGACTTTCCCTGTTCAATGTCAATAAGTCTCCGAACCTTCTGAAATTCCTCCAACTCCAGCCATGCTGTGAAAAGCTCATCTCCCATCCATGGCTCCTCATCCCGGCACCCCAACTGATCCAGAATACGGTCGCGGACGAAAAAGGCAAAGCACCATCAGGGCTCCTTGGAAATAGACACCCCATGTCTGATTGCTTTTGACAGAACTGCAAGAATGGTTCCGGGATTATAATGAAATCGAATGCCGATGCCCGGGAGTTCCGCTCGAATGTCTGGGTCCACCACTTTACCAAATGTTGCAAGTACATCGAACATAGTGGGTGGAGACCTTCCGTCACGATGGAACGGGGCTTCCCTTTGACTGATTATTGACAAACCAGTAAAACAGCTGGCCCAAGTACCGATGATCTCCTGATACAACTCCCAATCTTCAATCGTTTCACCTGGGGCAATTTGTAGACTGGGACTTGCTGCTCGGACCAGTGCGCCTCGCATTATCGCGTACTGCGCAGGGTGTAAGACGAAAATGATTCCGCCAATCAGGGCCTGGAACTCAAGGATATCTCGGAGGAAACGCTTCGACCCTGCGGAGTTCTTCTTCAAGGCCGCAGAAGCTCCCAGGGAAGTCCTGTCATACTAAAAACAAATAAGCTTTGGAATGGCATAAAAGAACAACAAAGAACTTCATGTCCAGCCGGCGTCCACAATGGAGCCAGATTTACAATTCCTGGCGGAAATACCGAGGCTTCAGAACCCCGGAAGTAGGCTTTGTTGTTTCTCCAAGATTTCCTGGAGACAGGGGGTGATGAGGCAAAGTAGGGCTGAAGGGACTCCAAAGCAAACAAAACCCGATTCTGATAAGCCAATGTTAGGACGCACAAAGGGTTTATGATTCCAACCTGCCTGAAGTGCTTCCGACATTGCCCTGGGTAAATACCAAGCAAGATGACTTCCCTGGACATCGCGCACAATCACCGGTTTGCTTTCAACCACTTCATCCTCCGGTGGAAAGGCGGGGGGATATCTCTGAAGCAATGCTTCCTCCATTAACATAACCATTCCTGACATTTTTATCAACGAAAAAAAAACGATCCAGAATCAAAACAAATACCGGTGGGTCGTACCCCAACATCCTTTATGTATTCCTCAATGTCCCACTCTACTTGAATCGGAGATGACCTCCAGGCCTCGACAATCACGGAAATCACTTGTTCGCAATCGGTGACCAGACTCTCGGAGAATTCCTTCGGGGGAAAGTCGTTTCCACCCTTCTGCAGTAGGATGTATCGAAGGCGTCCTGAGATATAAATTCCGACGTCATCGGTGAGAGCCTGGACAGCAGTCCCAAATTCCATTGTGGGTGGTTTGGAATGGTTGACGTAGGGAAAAACAAAACTATAAATTCTTGATGCCTCATGCTAACCTCATGTTTTATCAATCATTGTTCTCGGAGCTCAGATCAAACAGTTTTCAGGGACACCATCAACCCCTGAGTTCATGCACAACCTGGACAGTTGTATTACTCAAATGTAAAACCCCCAGAAGTCGTGCAACCATGTTGCCCGGATTCTGAACTAAGGACTGTGGATAATATAGCGGCACTCCGGTAATCTTTCTCGTGGAGCCCCGCATATAATATGAGCTCCAAATGAAGTCCCGCAAGAGATTTCGGGGTTAATACCCCCATGGTAACCCCCCAAAGGTTCCGCTATGCCCCGCAAATTTCTTTGAACCCCAAACAATCCTAAAGCTCCTGCCAAACCCTGGAGGTCCTGCCAAATCCCGAAGGTTCGGCACACCCCGGAAGTACCGCCAAACCCCGAAAGTTCCGACACCCCCGAAAGTTCCGCTAAACCCCGCAAGTTCCGACACCCCCGAAAGTTCCGCCAAACCCCACGATTCCCACTTGAAATACCCCAAACTCTTGGTGAAAAATTCCCGGTAAAATCATTGGCATTCCCAAGCCCTTGGGCCCATCATACAACTATAGCTGTTCATATTTGTTGGCTCAACATAGGCACCATAACTTACTGCTTTGACCATTGGGCCCAACATATAGCCATTAGTGACAGAAATTGAATTGGCCCCAACATTGGGCCCATAACCTATCCTGACCCGCATTGGGCCCAACATATAGCCATTGGGATTCTTGATATTGGGCCCAACAACTATCCTTAGTCTAAGTGAAACCACTCAAATGACCATAATTGGGCCAAATGGCTATTTGGCAGTGTCTGGTTTGGCCGCACATTTGGGCCCAACATTTACCCTTAAGTGTCTTTATGGAACTGGGCCCATACATGGCCCCATAGTGACATCCAGAGCATTGGGCCCATTTGGGTAGCTCTATGACCCATAGGACAATTGTCCATGTTGTACTTCTATGGTTCCATAGCGCAGCTACTGAATGCCCTGGCAAAAGAGTCTAAAGAAAAAGCGCACGACTTAATTTAAAATCCCAAATCCCATTCCTTCAAAGCTGCAAGAGTCGACACAATTAGCCAGAAGAAGCACAGGCACCAGTCTTCTTGAATCAATGTCTTCTGGTGTATTTCCTGGTTACACACATTGTCTCGCTTACTCTCAACTTTTAGTAAAGGAGATCAGGTAGAATATAAAAAAACAAAAAAAAATAGAAAATAAAATAAAATAAAAGTTAAAACTCGAAATAAGGAGGGCATCGTGAGTGGAACAATGCGCACTTCCACAAAGGAGGTTGTAACTTTCTGGGCAACATGCAACATGGACAGCAACTGAGCTGGTTGGTGTGTAGGAACATGGTGAAGGGTAAAATTTGTGTTGATACTCATGTGTCCAACATGACACCCATACATCTCCCAGACGTCTGCTCTGCTCTATCTTCAAGGAAAGCAATACCAGTTTCAAATTATGAACACCAGTAGATGAAAGTGTTCCTACTTTGACGATGAATTAAGATTGAGGCAATGGCGAGCTCACTACATCTTGCAACTCTTATGACTGGAGCCCATGGGATCATATTAAAATGTGCCACTAGACCTTACAATGACTTTGTGGTGTAATGGTCTAACGGGCTGCTTTCTGTGTATAATGTGTGGTGTGTGTTTCGCTGCGGGCATGTCCTCAACAGTACATGGGGCAATCTCAAGGGGGTCAGGAATACATGGCATTAGGGGCCATAGGTAGTCTACAAAAGTTGTAAAGTCTGACATAGGGCCTCACCCTAATAGACACTAAATTTGACTCAAAAAAAAAAATGTGTGGTGTGCCCAATTCCTGAAGCTGTGAGTTCAATTCCTGCAAGTGCTGTACTTTCCTAATTTTTCATTTCCATACCAGGTATTTTGGAACAATCCTACCACCTTCCTCGCCATAAAATTTTAATGAAAGTGCCAATCAAGACTACTCGATGTTACATTGTGATCAGACTCTATTGGAACCACAGATACCCCCCCACATACTTGAATGCCAAATGTGAACAGTGAGGCCCAGCATCTCGCAACTTCAGGTAGCAATTTCTGGAGGGAGTTCCATCAGTTTGAGGCTACAAACATAAAAATACAGCAGAAACTCACAGAGTACTTCAATTTTCTGTGTAGAGACATCTGTCCCCCAGATAATTGAACGTTGTACATGAGCTATGATGCCTAATGTCTTGTAAATCCGGGTGACAGTTTCTTAAGCAAATACAGTCAGTTAGAGACCAAGGATGCAAAGATTGAGCAAGAACTCATGGAGTAGCTCGACTTTTTGAGTGTGGACTTCAACCCCCCACGTATCTGTACACCAAATG